TCCGAGTCGATGTTTGGCCCTCGGAGTGTACGTACGTCTAAAACGCTTGAAGCATGCCTTCCGTCTATCACAACATGATCGATTTGGTTTCTCGTACAGCCATGTAGCTTGGTGGATGTTCTTATGCTGGAACCTAGTACTACATATTACCATGTTTCGGGCCCGGCGAAGTCGATCAGCCTCAGTCCGTTATCGGACGTTTCGTCGTGGAGGCTGAATTTTCCGACAGTGGCGCCAAAGACCCCTTCCTTGCCCACCTTGGCATTAAAATCGCCAAGCACGATTTTGACATCGTGTCGGGGCAGCGCTCATATGTACGTTCCAAGCGCTCATAGAAGAGATCCTTGGACGCCTCAGCCTTCTCTTCCGCCGGGGCATGGGCGCAGATGAGCCAGATGTTGAAGAATCTAGCTTTGATGCGGATTGTGGCTAGACGATCGTCCACCGGGGTGAACGCCAGTACTCGGCGATGGAGTCTCTCTCCTACCACGAATCCAACACCGAATTTGTGCTCCTTAACGTGGCAACTGTAGTAGACGTCGCAAGGCTTCACGCTTATTTTTCCTTGCCCCGTAAATCGCATTTCTTGGATGGCGGTGATGTCAGCCTTTGTCTTCCCGAGGACATCAACCAGCGGGCAGAGGCACCTTCCCCATTAAGGGTCCGGATATTCCAGGTGCATACCCTTAAATCATAGTCCTTTATACATTTGCCGTGGTCGTCATCAGAAAAAGGGGGTCTCATCCGAGGCTTTTTATATTTTTTCATTGGGCGGGGTTTTAACGTGGCGGGACCCAAACCCAGCGCATGCGAAGTTTTACGCCTTCTCACTTTAGCTCGCTCCCAAACGGGTGTTTGGTTGCTACCCAGAGGATACATGGATATAAATATCCGGACGTTGTGAGCTGCGATTTGAACCGTACGCACAAGAATCGCTTCTGGCCACTCCCAGGAGAATGGCAGTCAGAAGTTTTCCACTTCTGCGCACGGAACCATCCGCCAGTTAACAGTTAATCGTAACCGCGATAAAAAAAAATTAATTTTTAATCATTAACTCTTAATTTGATCAACTAGGTTTGGTGATTAATTAAGTTATGCTGGAATTTCTCTGTGCACACAAAGCAAGTTAATCCGGTATGGCTAAGTCGGGTTTCCTCATCAATCTAAGCAATTTGGTGTGCATTTTAATTAAGATATATACCAACAAAAGTTTTACAAACTAGGTTTGTAAAAGTTCCCAGTTTATGTATTACTAATAGCAATATTTATAATTTTTTTATATTATGTGCTTTTTATAAGCGTAAAACACAAAATAATTACTATAACTGGAGTTTGGTTTCAAACTAGGACAAACTAGACAAATTAATCAGATTTTATTTTTAATTGGATTAACGATTAATGTTTTAAATTAATTAAACGTAATCGCAGCCAGCGATTAACGATTAAATAAATGTTATCATTAATCGTACAGTTGATTTCGACTAATTAATTTTAATCGTCAAACGCGATTAACATTTTAATCGTTAATTTTTATTCGTTAATCAGATTAACAGTTTGCCAACACTGTGAAATCATGTTCATATTGACGGAGAAAAATGGCCGTTTTTGGAAAAGAGGCGTACTGACTGAAAGTTTCATATTGCATATCTCTTCAAATGTTTGGGGTAAAGCACTCAAGCTTGGTATGGAAATACATATGTGTGTATGTATGTAAAACTAATACCATACTCATGGAGATAAATGAGAGTTATTGGAAAAGGTGGTGTGGCAACTCCCATGCAAATTGATTTTTCTATGCTGCATATCTCTGGAGGTGTTTATTGTAGAGGACTGGAACTTGGCACCGAGATTTGTATACAAAATTAATTCCATACTCATGGAGAAGAATTTGCGTTATTCGAAAAGGGGACGTGGTTCCTGCCGTACAAATTTACTGGGACTTGGTACTGGGGTATGTAAAATGGAAGAAGATTAGGGTTATAAGAAAAAGGGGCGTGGCACATCCAGTACAAATTTACTTTTCTTGCCACATATCCCTGGAAGTGTTTGTGGAAGAATACTGGAACTTGGTATGGAGTTGTGTATACAAAATATATCAATTGCTTATGGAAAAAATTTGAGTTACTAAACAAGGAGGCATATCGCCTCCCATACATACTAAAACTTCTTAATACATATCTCTGGAAGGATAGAAAATCTCTCGAAGTATTTTAAATTTTGTATGGAGATTTATTTTATAAGTGCCTTCCTGACAGAATAAATTTCATTAAATGGAAAAGGGAGAGCCGGGTTCGGCCTTATAATCTAAAGCTCTCGTAAGGCATTTGCTACAGTAATGAGAAGTGGTATTTTATCAAGGCCAGGTTACTAAATTTGAGTTGGAAATATTAGAACTCGCCGTGAAGCTGTATTTACTCCATTTATTTGCATGAAATTAATCAAATGAAAGTGGGAAAAGTACAAGAGTTTTTTGCACATAACTCTTGAATTAATTAAAAAAGTTAATTTTCGGATTTGAAATTTTTCGTCCATTTTCGGCCATTTAAGCTAAAGTGTACTACTGCCATAAATTTATTAATTGCGCAGTGCTATTGGGAAATGTGTTAATACAAATATTTTTGAAGTGAAACTTCTTTAGCGGCGGTTGGTTCGTTGGGAGTAAATTGGCAAATTCAACGGAAATTGCACACGGAAATGGTGAAACGGAAATGAAGCAACGGAAATGGTGCAATGGAAATGCTTCTTATGTGTATGCATATGGTATTAATTTAACAAAAACTTGCTAATACAAGGTTAAAGAATAACACTTAGCAAAAGACCAATACAAGAATGAAGGTAGGGTGACTACGTATATAGACAAAGAAAAGGATAAAGGCAAAGGTAAAAATAAAAACAAAAACAAAGATGCGTAAAGATAAAGGCAAAAATTAAGACCAAGGTAAATTTAAACACTTTACTTATATATATAAGGGTAAAGGTGAAGGGGAATATGTAGATGAAGAAAACGATAAACATAAAAGTAAAAACAAAGATTAATTTGACGAAAAGGATGAGGATGAGGATATCGATAAAAGTAAAGATGAAGATAGGGGAAGAAAGATTAAAATAAAGGTAATCAAATAGGAAAGGATATACATAGAGAGAGACACAGAGACTCTATCTGGGAACTATTTTGGGATTTTAGAGATTTTCGGGATTCTCGAGACTTATCGATAAAATAATCGATATTTTTATCGGTTTTGTTATCGATATTTTTATCGATTTTGTTTTCGAAATTTTTATCGATATTATTATCAATTTTGCTATCGATATTTTCGGAACTTATCGATATAATAATCAATATTTTTATCGATTTTGTTATCGATATTTTTATTGATTTTTTTATCGATTTTGTAATCGATATTTTTAACTATTTTGCTAGCGATATTTTTCTCGATTTTGTTATAGATACTTATCGATTTTTGTATCGATATTTATCGATTTTGTTATCAACACATATCGATTTTGCTATCGATATTTATCGATTTTTTAATCGATTTTGTTATCGATATTTATCGATTTAGTTTTCCATATTTATCGATTTTGTTATCGATATTTGTCAATTCTGTTGTCGATATTTATCGATATTTTTATCGAGTTTCTAATAGATGTTGCTACTAATATTATTATCGATGTTACTAACGAAATTTTTGTCGAATTTTTCATCGATTTTGTTATCGATATTTTTATCGGTTTTGTTGTCAATATTTTATTGGATGTTACTATCGATCTTGTTATCCATAGAGTATAAAGATAAAAATGAAGATAAAGGAAAATAGGATAACATAAATGTAATTAGAACGAACAGGGGATCTAGATATAAAAAAGACGAAAAATATAACTTTAACCAAAAGCAGATGTGTGTATGTATGTACACAAGTATGTATGTATGTATATTGGTTATGAGTATTAATATTTTTCAAGAAAATTTTTTGTACATCACTATTATATAAGTGATTTGTGTTATTTATTATTACCCTGAAGGCATTATATTCGTTTTTGGTTTTAAAAACTTTGTTAAAACAAGATCTAATTTTTAAAATAAAAGATTTTTTAAGCCGATTTCATGAATTTTATAAAACAACCATTTGGCGATTTTTTTTTCAGAAATCGCTCTTTTCTTTTTAAACAATCTAAGCACCCTGGTCGTAAGTGCCGTATTGTCGTATGTCGTAATGTTTTTAATAATGTAATCAAGGTACATTGAACAGGTAGTATCAGTAGAGCAGCTGATTTGATTTATTTTCAAATTATTTGGTCTCGAAAATGTCAAATATTTTTAATTTTTTCTCACGAAAATTATAAGTTGTTAAAATCCATTTGCTTGTGAAACCTTTTTCCATACAAAACAAGCGATTGAATAGCAGCTTTTGGAACGTTCGCCCAACTCGGCAGCACGACCGCTGATTACTGGGCCTTGCAAAGGATGGATCAATGCTTCGAGAAGCAAACAAATTTACTAGGAAAGAAAGTTGCATCAATTTTTATTTTTTCCAATTTCAATTTTTTATTTTTTATAATTTTTTGTATTTCACATGGCACGCTTTGATTTAGAAGAAAAAATTCAGAACAGTTCGAATACCAGAAGCAACAACAAAATACACGCAAATGTTGTTTTTGCTCTACTGATACTACCTGTTTAATGTGCCTTGAATGTAATGTAATAAATCTTGAAACTACAGCCAATTAATTTTTAACGTTGTGAAATTTCATAACACGACTTTTAGCTTTTTAGGTAGCTGGCGAATCCCTAAATATAGTTTTAGCCCTTTAAAGTTTGCGACATACTACAGTACGACGGTACACAACCCCTTCTGAAATCCCTAATTATATATTAAAACATTTAACTTTACATATCTCACAATCTATTTTATATAATTTTTCTTCCAGCTAATATATTTATGAAATCTGAGTTGATTTCTTCGCTTCGATCTTTAGTTAAATACAAGTAAAGGATCACAATGGAACCAAATTTTGACCGTTGGGATTTTGCGGTACTAATTACCATCCTTCTCATTTCTGCAATGATTGGCATTTATTACCGTTATACGGGCGGCAAGCAGAAAACAATCAAGGAATACCTATTGGCCGATCAGAGCATGACCACATTTCCAGTTGCTGTTAGTTTAATGGCGAGCTTCATGTCCTCCATCACATTATTAGGTGTTTCAAGCGAAAGCTACCAGTTTGGTACTATGTTTTGCATAATAAACATCGCTTACATTATAAGCACGCCGATAGCCGCATATTTGTTTTTGCCTGTTTTTTATCGCATGCGTACCTTGAGCGTTTATGAATACTTGGAGCGACGATTTGGGCACTCGACGCGTCTCGCTGCTTCACTTGCCTACTCCGTACAAATGATCCTTTATATGGGAATTGTTCTATATGCGCCAGCGCTTGCACTCGAAGCTGTTACAGGAGTAAGCAAGACCACAGCTATATTGGTTATAGGACTCCTTTGTACATTCTACTCTACTATTGGCGGCCTAAAAGCTGTGCTTATAACAGACGTTTTTCAATCGCTTCTGATGTTTGCTGCAATCTTCGCAGTAATTGTGGTGTCTGCCATTAAGGCGGGTGGTTTGGCTCCAATATGGCAGGAAGCTGAAAAGAGAGATCGTTTTTATTTCACGGATTTTTCTTTGGATCCCACAGAGCGGCACACATGGTGGAGTCTTATTATCGGAGGTATGGTGACATATTTGTCGTTGTATGGTATTAATCAGGTGCAAGTGCAGAGGTTGTTAAGTGTGCGAAATCTCGAGAGCGCGCAATCGGCACTCTGGTGGAATTTACCAATTTTGAGTACACTCAGTTTTAGTACCTTATTTAGCGGATTAGCTATATTTCACTACTACAGAAACTGTGATCCTCTCCTGGAAGGAAGAATACAATCAAGAGATCAGTTGATGCCACTTTTTGCCGTAGACACGATGGGTAAGAGAGTAAAAAAGAAACATGTGTATAACGATTACACTATACGGCAAAATCAACTTTTTTTCTGGGTATTGGACCCAACCAATTTTTTTCAAAAAAAAGATTGAGTCAGGTAAAAAAGTCAGTAAAAAAAAATTATATACAGTTTAAATAAGAGCAACAGCCGGACCACGCCTAAGTTTTTACTTTCTTAGTTGTTTACATACAATTTTTTTTTTCCAATTCCGAACTTCGAGGCCCATATCTCGTTTTCGGGGGCTAACTTGGAAAAACGGAGAAAATATTTTTTTTAATTATGACTCAATCCCTTAAAAAAAGTTGGTCTGGTCCAATGCCCAAGTGCTGTACCGTGTTATTTCCATGGTGTCCATCTTTTGATATTTTTTTTTAAATTTATATTTGGCCGTTAATTGAAGATTCTGTTGATTTTTTTAGATCTCAAGCCCGGGTTTATTTCAACCCCGCCTTGAGCTAAAAAAAAATTAACAGTATTTTTTTTTGTTTTTTACAAAATTAAATTATTTAAATTAAAAACGTTCTTGATAGCATAGTTGGATAGTCACCTAATTAGGATTAGGACCTAAAAATCTGTAAAAAAGGCAAAATAAAATAACGAAATAGGCTAGAAAAGGTCCATTTCATTGTTACTGGTGGGACTAGTGTACAATGATTTCATATAAAAATTTTTAACGATAAAATAGTATATAAGCAAATGCTTTCGGAAAAATGGGCTCAAATGGCATTTCTAAGTGAACATGGTACAGATTTTTTTTTGTAAATTAACAGCTAAGGAATCAATAAACAGTGTGGTGTATTTAAAATATGAATATTGTCGATTGGATTATAAAAACTTCTAAATCGTTTTTCTCAAAACTATATTTTTCATGTTACACTACTTCATTATTCCAGCGACGGTATGACACCGTCAGAGAAAAATAGTCCAAACGCACATTTTTTTTTTACCCAACTACTTATAAAAATTGTTGGTTGGGCCATTTCTGTTCATAGGCACAAAATAACAGAC